TATGCGACTTGGGAAGGTCGACACTGGAGATCTGCGTACGCTGCAAACGATAAATATCCACGGCTCCGCGTTAGCCATTAGAGAGACGGCTGTGCGCGAATCTCTTCCGATCGGCAGCGATAGCGACAGCGAAAAATACAAGTATCGCGTTATCTTATCCCTTTTCTAATAATATATCCATGTAGACTCGCGGGCCGGTATAATTATTTCACGAAGTGTCGCGGAGAAATCTAAGGAAGTGGCGTCTAATTAAATTCATCTTCATCGTGGAATTCTTAACACGGGGGAAAAATTATGCGCAAGTTAACGGTTCACTAAAATTCTTGTGTTACTTCAATAAAGTGAATATGTTAAAAAGCAATACATCAACATGACGTTAATTTAACATACATTTGTGTACTTTTTAACCTGTTCCCATGTTAAAGTAACAGAAAAATTTCAGTGGCCCATTATTAACACAAGATCTTTTACCGTGCATATTGACGAAGAATAAAATTTTGCATGCGCGTTTGAAAAACGAGAAATCTCGTTTCCCGTCGCGTATTTGTGTGAAAACGAGATTTCTCGTTTCCTGCCGCCAATACGTTAATCGCGGTTTCCACGCCCATCGTCAGAATTAGACTCATTAGCGCGGCAATCGGAAGTTATTTTCGTCCTTGTATTGAAAATATCATGCATGCTGGCGCCAGATGTATATTAATATTGTCTGGGACGGTCACATACACGCACGTATCTACCGCGCGCGAAGGTCTACGTTCGCGGACTCGGCATCACGCGCCGGCGAAATTGCTCCGCGGCGGCGGCGCGGAGGAACGCGCGAGGAGAACCGGCAATTCTCTGGTGGCGCGCGGTCGCCGGCACCGATTCATTGAGGTTTTTCTTATCCGAGCTAAAATCCTTGGAAATGAGAGCGGTTATGAAAATAAAAGGCCGCCGCGGACGTCTCTAAGAGGCAGACGTGAAATAATATGCCTCCCGGCGAGCACGGGGGGCCGAGGAGAAACGAGGACACTTAAAGCGGCAAGCTGCAGTCAATTCCGTAATTGCTTCTTTATCACGATCTTCAGAGAACCGACAGAATTGCTTTATTACAGGGCTTTCAGTCTGCTTCCAATTTTCCGAGCACATGCGTCGCTCGCTCGCACGCGCGTCGCGCTGCTGCGTTGCGTGGCCCACATTTAGTGACTGCGTTTATTGTATCGCGCGTGCAGACCGCGAACGTCGCGCGCAGGATGCACCTCGTGACAGAGTCATCTCTCTCTCTCTCTCAGCAAGAAATAAATTCATGCTAAATTCAAGCAAGGCGATGATTCTTGGCACCACAAGATACTTAACCCTCTGTTAGTCGTAATATCCAATAGATACCATCCTAATACTTGTCAATTTGTTCTTCACTGCGTTTTAGGGAACTTGTCTTACAACGTTAAGAAATGTAATCTCTATAACTTCAGGTTTCGGGGGACAAATCCGTCGTTTCCCAACCTTTTCCGCGGGTTTTCTTGGCCTCTTATCTTCTTTACGGGAAAAAGTAAATGTGACGGGGTCTTAACCGAACACAGGTGAATCTTTCTAAACGAATTTTTGTATTTTTGGAATAGAAATCGAAAAAAAATCCGCTCAAATTTGGGGAAAAACGATGCTTTTCCGAAACTTTAAAACCATAGCTGTACCCTTTCTTTTCTCTGACAATTTTCTCGCGTTTTCTCTCGCGTTCGCACTCCGTTCGACTCCGTGTCATCATCGCGGAGGAAGAGGCGCGCGACACGCGTTGCTCTCTCTCTCTCTCTCTCTTTCGGAAGAGAGAAGAGCCCTCAACGTTTTGGCAGGCGGAGGAGAATTTTCACGAGTGTAACAAAGAGCGTTCTGTTCTGGCTGGTCGAGCTAGATTCGTGCGTCGTATCGTCGCGAATCGCGCGTACCAACAACAGTTTTATCATCGACCACCTCGATACCTGAAACTTATCTCGCGAGTTCTCTGCGGTAACGATAATACAATGACATACGTGGTTCTGGGGCGTCCGTGTCGATCCCGCGCTGCTGACGCGGTCTCACCTCTCGCGTTGGTCTTCGCGCTTCCCCGATCCAGGGGATTCCATAATTCAATGGGATATAAAACGCGGACGCGCCGCCGCGCGCGGTGTATGTAAGACACCCGGTCGTCGGGAACCGCTGAAAGACCGCAGACGATCGCAGATAAACATGAAAATTTCGACGGCGACTACGGTGCCGACGACGACGACGGCGGGCGACGCGACAGGCGTCCTTGCTCCAACCACTCGCGCTACTACCGATGACGTAATCGTCGCGATACCCCGCAATCTTGGCGCCGCGGTAAACTCGTAATATCTATTTTTATCTGTGTGGTGGAAGCAAGGGGCCCCCCGGTTCCCTTCCCCTCCACCGTCGGCCGCGTCCCATCTATCTCTCTCTCTCTCACACACACACACACATGCTGCGCCGTTCTACGACACACGCCAGCAGCTCGTCCACACGCGTATCGAGCCACACAGAAAGCCAAGCCAAACCAAAGCCAAGCCCCGCGAATGTCCGAGAGCCTCGAAAACCGAACGACGTTATTGCGACGGCGACGACAGCGGCGGCGACGGCGACGGCCGGCGCGATAAGAACGCTTTCGCGTCGCGCTTTTCGAATCCGCCTACGATGAAATTTCCGGTCCGGTCGAACGAGTTCTCGCCGTCTGATAAGCTCGGCGACCGCTTATCGCTCGAGTTTTACCGATCATCGGCAAAGAGAGAGAGAGAGAGAGGGAGAGGAAGAGCGCGCCTACGTGGATCTTCGACGATCACGCACTGGGTGACGCGAAAAACTAATTGTTTGCTCGAGAGAGAGTTCTTTCCTTTTTTTTCGTTATAGCGTTGGAAATCAAACGAGATATGCGCACAGAAAAATACTGCATTCAAGTATTAATTGTTGTTTCAAATATTTCATTAGTTCGTATATCCGCAAATTCGTTATAAACATCAAATTAATTTAATTCATTCTAAATATATTTTGAATCCTAATAAGTTTAGTACTTCAATCATATGTATTAAATTAAAACACTAAAACCAAAACTTCAGTTTACTTGTTCAAATTAACCATATTTAACTTTTCTTTGATAAAGTTTATAATATTCTTGAATAGAAACACGTCCTTCTTTTGAGTAAATGATTATGAATTTTTCTAGTAATTGTGTAATGAACATATTTAGTACTATTATCAAGAAGATACTCTTTGTTCAAGATAGCCATTATTTAAGAGAATAAAAATAAACTGAGTAATTGCATGCGGCATAATAATATTTTTCTCTGCGTGGGAGCGGGATTATGGAGATTAACTACGCACGAGATTAATTAATTCGAGCGTTTGCGTAGCCGATTTTTGAATAAAAGAAATTCCTCCATCTATTAAATTAGATTGTATCGCGCGACAATTTCCAAACGATAATGAATAATAAATATATGTGCATAACGTCTGGCGCCACATTATTGCGCTAACTATAGCGGCCGGTATTAATATTAATTTCTATTCATTTTTTGTCTCACCGTTCTTTAAATAGAATTGAATTCAGGGTCGTGCACCTTTTGCGACTTATCTCGTTCCCACAAATCCCCATTAGCTGCACGCGGTCACTGTTCGTCCATTCTCGAATCTCTGGCGCCAGCGCGATGCCGGACGGCGAAAAGCGTAGGACTTTACGGTGAGACACGTGAGTCCTTTGTGATGCCGCCGGCGCGATGGTGGCCTTTTCACGTACCAACCGTCTTTGCGAGGAAAGGCCTATCGTTAACAAAGGATCTCGTTTTCCGTCGAAAAGATCCGTGTAAGGCTGAACCTCCGGAAGACGACGATTAACTCCCTTTTGAGTATAATCGGACGTTTTCCTCGCAACGCGCGGAAGCGAAACGATAAACTGTGAAAACGCGGAATACATGTCGTGGAAATTGCGGTTTTCCGCCGAGACGCTTTGGCCGAGGATTTTCCTGCTATTTTTGCATGCCACTTCACGCTAGTTTATCTACTACTTCGGTTATCGTTGAAGTTTCGCGTTACGAAGTGAAGATAACGTCAAACAACGTATACTTTTCTTTTTTTCTTTCCGTAATCTCGTCTTTATCTATCCGACACATTTCATATATCTATATTTTGGGGGAGGATATTTTCCTCTTTAACGCAATACTTAGCATCGATGAAATTTTCCAACTTGACGCGAGAACTTGAAGACCCCTCTGCACGGAAAACTACTCGGTTTGTACAATTTCTGTTTCCCGGAAACAGAACTCGGTTGCAGGGGTGGAAAGATTTCTGCAGGTTTTCGTTACTCGGTCATTTATCCTCGGTTATATCAATCGAATTTTAATGCTGTCGGATGTCGGAACGAATACTTTCGGTCGCAACAACAAAGAGATCATTCGGACTTGCGGACAAGTTTTCATGTACATTTCTTAGAAAACAGATTCAGTTCCATGACCGAGTTTTTCTTTCCCTGCGGGATTCCTGTAATGACAAACGAGAATTCAGGACCGCCAGGAGCGGCGATCGGACGAACGTAATGTGATCGTAACATGATCGTAACATTTCGCGCGACTCTCACGGGCGTAATGACTGCGGTAATGTCATTCATGAACGAGCGAGCGATGGATGGCCCGATGCGTGACACCAAAAACGAGAGAAGGAATATCTAATAAATAAAACATACTTATTCGATGGATGCTAATAACATATTTACTTAAATCTTTCTAAATTCTTTTATTCAAGTGGAATAAACAAATTGCTTTCATGAAAAACTGCAGTTTTAAGAAAATATATATTTTCTCATTTGAAAACAACTATCTTTTCTCAGAGTGTAAACGTATGTATATTAATCTAAGTTAAGATATTATTATTAGTACCCACTGAATAAATATTTTTCATTTTTTTTTTCTCTCTCGATGTATTGGCCGACAGGCTCGGCCGTTTTCCCGCTCTAATCAATCTTTTTCCTTCTGTGTTTTTCGCAGGTGAGACGGGGCAGAGGGAATGGTGCACCTTGGCGTACTGGGAGCTGGGCGGCCGAGTGGGCCGTCTGTATCCCGTGGAACCTTCGACGGTGAACGTCTTCGACTCTCTCCACGACGGCGATGGCCTCTGTCTGGCGACACTAGCCGAGAACCATATTGCACCGCCCGCGGTCCAACGTACGCGCAGCAAAATCGGTCTAGGTAAGGTTTCACCGCTACAAAGTTCGATTTAACATTCTGCATGAGAGAGAGAGAGAGAGAGAGAGAGAGCGCAAGGCTCCGCCTCAATTTACTTCGCGTCAGAGAGTCTCGCTTGTTTCACGCTAGATCATAGTCATTGAAGAATCTTATTATATCTCGCTGATGTAACAATTTCGTGCGAGATCCTAGATCTCTTAGCAAAAATATCACTCCTTAAAGTGCACGAAAAATAATTATTTTTTTAAGAAAGTTACTTCTTAAAAGTCATTATCGTTACGTGTTATTCCGTTAAGGAAAAAAAAAAGCATTTCGTCGGCACTGCTTATCTTGAAAAAATAATTCATTGCCACTATTGTTACTCAAAAAATAACGAGTCGTTACCATTCCCGTTACTTTTTTCATCAAATTTCTAAGATCTTTGGCTAATATTCGCCGTCCATCCAATGTATATATTTTGCATATCCGAAGTAATTATTATATCCGTCGCCATTACTAAAAGTATAATTACGTCACCGTATAATATACAAAGGAAAACGCCGTTACCAAACGTCGTGACCGACAAAAGTTGGCTCGCAACGGTAAAACGGCGGTTTACCTTTCGATTCTGAAAATATCACGATATTACAACGCGATACTCGTACGCAGAGCTCGTTCGTAAAAGCACGTTGCGTCAGACGTGCGAGCGAGAGCGCGCGCACCTTCGCAGCCTCTCCGGATGTTGAGTAATCACCCTTACGTCGCTTTCGTCGCAGGGCTAACGCTCAGCCAGGAGGCGGACGGTGTATGGGCGTACAACAGGTCGGAGAGCCCGATCTTCGTCAACTCGCCCACCCTGGACGACCCGGAGTCCAGGACGCTGCTGGTCTATCGAGTGCCGCCAGGCTTCTGCCTCAACATCTTCGACCGCGCCAAGATCCTGCAGCTTCCATACGGCGGCGGCGGCGGTGGCGCGGGGGCGGGCGGCTTCGCCTCCGGCCCCGTCGATATTAACTCCGTCCGCATCAGCTTCGCCAAGGGCTGGGGGCCCAAATACTCGCGGCAGGAGGTCACCTCCTGCCCGTGCTGGCTCGAGGTACACCTGGCGCCGTGCAGGTGATCGTCCCCACTGCGACCGGCCGCAAGGATATCGAGTCTCGTCCAGTCGCGCCTCTTCCTCCTCCTCGTCATCGTCATCATCGTCGTCGTCATCGTAGTCGTCGTCCTCGTCGTTGTCGTGATCGTTTCTGGGGTTAGACTTGAACGGTGATGTAACGATGCGGCGACCCTGGCCTTTAGCTCCGTCCTAGCAAGAGCGGTGTTTAAACGCGCGTCCCGGGGGCCACGGATCTCGAAGAGCAAGATCGGTGCCCCCTCCCCCGAAGCAGTCTTACCAAAGTACACGCTGTCTTATACGTCTAGGGACAACGTCGCGTACCGTTGCGTCGGTAACGAGAGGTAGATAAGGAGATAGACGGAAAGCGGGAGAAAGAGAGATAGGAACGGAGATCGTGTTCGCGCGAGCGTGCTCATCGAGCGCCTACGAACGAAGAGGGACTCACATTGACGAGTGGTGCCTTGGGATCTTCACGAACCGCGTGCGCGCGTATTCACGCATTGATGCTGTTTTTCAATTTTGTTTTCCCTTTCTTTTCCCCTTTTTCTTTTTCTTTTGTTCTCTGTGCGCGATCGGTCCCCTCGATCGCCGAGGTGTTGTTATGTCGATGCTACTCTCGAGATTCGTGTGGAGAATTTTCGATAGCGGGAAGCGGAGAGAGAGAGAGAGAGGGGGNNNGGGGGGGGGGGGAGAGTCGGGCTTCCGGTAGGTCTAGTCATTTGCGTTTAATCTGCGCCAGCTCGCGAATTCGCGTGGTGGATGCTGAATTCACAGCAGCATGGCAGGGAAAATTCTTAGTCTTATCGAAACATGAAGCAAGAGTAACGTCGACGAAGGAGAGAGAGAGAGAGAGAGAGAGAGAGAGAGAGAGAGAGAGAGAGAGAGAG